GCAGCGGCTGTTCGGCGAGACTTTCCCGATGATCGAAAGGAGGAGGAGGAGGAGGAGGGAGTGCCACCGTTGAGAAGAAGAAGGTCATCCTCTTTCAGCTTCTTTTCATCCTCATCCTCTTCACCTTCTTCTTCAGAGTCGGTGAAGGGTCGTTTCAGGCTGCTGCCTTTTGGAGTGGATGCAATGGCGGTGATTTTAGATTGCAGAGAGGCTCGACGAGGTCCACCACGACAACGACCTCTTTGATTGGTGGTCGCTTTTGAAGCCAAAGATGATGAAGAGGAGAAGGTTGTCTCCTTGGTTGTGGACGTGGACTTCAAGTGGCTGCCCGTGGAGTGGCGAGTTACTGGGCGAGAGGCGGTGGTGCTAGCTGAAAAAAAGAAAGAGAGGGGTAAGTCTTTGAGTTTCTATTTTGCTTGTTTACGTTTCTATTTTTCTTTCCCTCAGAGAGGAGCTTACCTGAAGAGGAGCGCTTTTTGCTGGTGCTTCGGTTGCGAGCGCCAGCACTCTTCTCCACCTCCTTATCCTCCTTCTTTTTGTTGATGGTCTTCTTCAGCTGATCTCCATCTGCAGCCGAAGCCGAAGCAGCCTCATCACTGCTCGTCGCCGCCACCGAAGATGATGAAGTCTTCTGAATGTAGCCACTGTCGGTGGTTACCATCAGCAGCATCGACTGATGATCGCCAGCAGAAGTAGCAGCAGCGGTGGCATTATCACCACCATTATCACCACCATTACCACCATTTGCTCCATCTTCAACTTCATCTTCAGCAGTTCTTCTGCCTTCTCCTCGCTCCTCCTCTTCGAGGGCCGCCTGCCGCTCGATGCCCGTCTTCACCACCTCGTAGATGGCCATCGAGTAGACGACCAGCTCCTCGTCGAGGTGCTTCACCCAGGCACTGACGTCCTCTGCGGCCCACGGCAGCAGCGGCGAGCGGTAGTGAAATTCGAAGAAGGCGGTCCGCGTCGAGTCGAAGCGAATCACCACCGTACAGTGCTCGGTGTCGTGCAGATAGGGCTGCTGGCGGAGGAGTTCCGCCTGGAGGAGCTGCAGCGTGGTGGCCGATCGTTGGACCGCCTCAAACAGCTCCTTGAGGGCCGCCTTCTGGTAGGCGAGGTTGAGGAAGCAGTCTCGGTCGAGGAGGGACTTCTTGATCGACTCGATTGAAGGACGGGCGTTGGAGCGGCGGTGGTGGTGGTGGTGGTGGTGGAGGAAGAGGTTGGGCGTTGATGGTGTCGAGGAGGAGGATGCCGTGGGTGAGCTTGCTAATGGCTCCATTTTGGGAGTAGAAACGGCAGGGATCGGTGTTTGTTGTTGTGGTGGTGGTGGATGGTTCACCGAGTATCGAGTGGATCCATTCGGCATAGGGTGATACTGCTGTGCTCCTGCTGCTGTTCCCGTTGATGGCTGATGGTAGTAGCTAAAGGATCCAGGGAGTGGTGGTGCTGGCTGAGGATTCGGTTGCCGCTGTTGCTGCTGAGTATGATGGATTCCATTTAGATTCATTGGTTTTGGTGGTGGTGGTGGTGGTGGTGCTGTCGGGAATGTCATCATCGGTTTCTGGAGACTGCCGTTCAGGCTGCTGCTGCTGCTGCTGCTGCTTAGGAATGGAGAATCCATGGGGCTTCCTTTTCACTATTTCAGAGAAGAGTGAGTTTGTTGTTGTGAAAAAAAAGAAGAGAGGGCACTTTGATTTTGTGGCACTGACTGACTGACTGCTGTCGTTGTTGGTTTATCAACTGCTGCTGCTTCGGCTTCTAACTCAACTGACTAACACGTTTTTTTTGCGTTTTTCAGAGACACTGCACCATTCAGCGGAGAGCTGCTCTCACTTTTTCTCTCTAGAGACCTAGACCACTGCTGGGATTTTTTTTGTTGGGAAAAGCACTTGGCACGCCTCTGGAATGTTCTTCTTGAAGCTGTCCTGGTATTCTGAGCAGCAGCAGTGCTGATGATGAAATGAAATGAAAAAAACTGTGCAGCCCGGGTGATGAGGGTGATGACCGTGCTGAGGTGTGTGTTGGTGGCACTGGTGAACACAACACGAGAACATTACCATCACGTCCGTCAACCAGGCGTCACCAGCGCCGCCGTCGTGTCAATGGCGTCAAAAAACATGTTCATGAATTTTACTTTTTTTTGTTCATGCTCAGAAGATATAAAATGAAAACAAAGTTGGTGAACCAGTGTGTTCCTACTTTCCCTCTTTAGCAGCGTCCTTCGTCTTCGTCTCCTTTGGATCGGTCTTCACCTTGCTTTGCTTTCGCTCCTGCAGCTGCTGCTGTTGTTGTTCCTTGTTCTTGCTGTTGTCATTGTTGTTGTCCTTTGCCACCAACTCTTCAGCAGCCTTTCCTTTGCTCTCCTTGGCCACCTCTTCTTTGACCTTTTCACTCACTTTTGAGTTAGTCTTCACCTGACTAGGCTTCCGTTCCTCCAGCTCCTTAGACGCCTTTTCTGGCGGCTGCTTCTTCAGCTCAGTGTCCTTCTTCTTTGTTGTCTCTTTACCACCACCACCACCATTACTACCTTCCTTGCTCTTTGGCTCCGTCTTTGCAGCTTTGCCCTCTTTGGCCTCCTCTTTCTTCGGCTCTTTAGCGGCGGCGGCGGCGGCCACCACGGTCTTCACCTTGCTGGTCATTCGCTGCAGCTTCGCCGCCTGCTTGCACTTGTTCACCTCGACGGCAAAGTTGCGAAGTCCAGTGGCGCAGGGCGAGGCGGCTCGCTTGGAGGCCTTCACCTTTCCCGAGTTTTCGCATTGTCCATTTTTGGGCGTGAAGGGCTTTTTGGAGACTACCTTCGCCGAGCGGTTCGACTTGGACGAGCCGGTGGACTTTTTGCTCGTTGGGCGGCTCTTCTTCGGCGAGCGAGTCTTGGGCATGTTGACTGGGGAAAAACAGGTCAACAAGGTCAACAACTCAAGTCAGCTCTTCAATTTCGAATCTCAAGTATCTCAAACTTTACACTTACCCGGCGCCTTCGCCGCAAAGTCCACCACCGGAATGTGATTGGCGTGCTTCGACTTGTACGCCTCTCGGTTCTCCGCACTTCTCGAGACGAGAATCCGCAACAGATAGGAGGCCTCGTCGCCGGGCGAGAAGGTGCTGGGAATGACCAGGTAGCGGGCGGGCTGCAGCTGAAAGCGCCCACTGACGGCCCGGCTCTCCGCAAAGGCGATCTTCGCGATGCTGTGGCTCGCTTTGAAGAAGTTCTCCAGCGTAAACTGCTCCTTCTTTGCCGCCTCCAGGGAGCCACCCTTCTTCTGGTCCTCCTCCGTCAGGTCGCCGACAAAGTAGATGGAGAAGCCTGTCAAAAAACCCTTTAGAAAACCTTCACAAAAAACTCCACAAAAACTTACCAATGCGAATGGGCGCCTCCTTCTTGATCGTCTTTCGGTAGCGAAAAAACTTCTGAATCAGCGAGATTATGACCGTGTTGAAGTTGTTCTCGTCGCCCTCCTCGTCCTCCACGTCCGGCTCGACGATGGTCAGCACGTACATTGGGTTGTTGACGAAGCTGTCCATGTGGTTGGCACAGCCGCCGGCGCTCGGTCCCAGCCAGCCGCCGGTCTGCTCGTAAAAGTTCCACATGTACGTCTCGCAGGTGCTGACTTCCAGTGGACCGGTGCTAGACACGACATGGCAGCACTCAAAGACGTTAAAGTGCTCGATGAAGTGGGTGTAGGGCATCCAANCACCGTGTTGAAGTTGTTCTCGTCGCCCTCCTCGTCCTCCACGTCCGGCTCGACGATGGTCAGCACGTACATTGGGTTGTTGACGAAGCTGTCCATGTGGTTGGCACAGCCGCCGGCGCTCGGTCCCAGCCAGCCGCCGGTCTGCTCGTAAAAGTTCCACATGTACGTCTCGCAGGTGCTGACTTCCAGTGGACCGGTGCTAGACACGACATGGCAGCACTCAAAGACGTTAAAGTGCTCGATGAAGTGGGTGTAGGGCATCCAAAACTCGCCGTCGTCGAACTTCTTCAGGCCAATCTTCTCCTTCACCTCGGCCGTCACGGAGGCCCACTCGACGGAGCCGTCCGCCCAGGGGCCGCGCCACTCGCACTTGCCCCAGGGATTTCGAAGGCGAACCAGGCGGACCAGCTTGCCCTTGTACCAGAGGCGGCACATGCCGGTGAGGGCGTACTCGTGCTTCAGAATCAGGCCATTGGTCAGCTCGTCCTCGACCTTGCCATCTTTTCGGCTGATGTACGTGCAGACGAGCGAGTTTCGCAGGTAGTAGCGGTAGAGGATGGCGAAGAGGTTGGCGGGCACCTCGCTGACGGTGGGGAAGGTGAAGATCTCCGCGACGCCGCCGGTGAAGTCGACGAAGGCCTCGCTGGCGTTGCCGAAGTTGAGCGTCTCAAAGCCGCCGTTCTTCTTGGCGTACGCCTTCTCCAGCAGCGCCAGCCAGAACTCGTTCTTCGAGGCGGAGTGGCCGAGCACGAGGGCGCCGTCCACGGTGGGCAGGTAGTCGTCGATGACGACGTCGATCCACTGGGAGGGGGTGAACAAAAGGATTTGATAAGGTTTTTGGATAATAAAAAGAATCTTCTTCACTTCACCACACCTACCTCCCCGTACAGGTAGAAGCGAAAGTGAAAGATGCCGGCGTAGTCCTTCGTGAAGGACTGCAGCGGGACGAACTTCTCAAAGAGGCTCTTCCGCGAGGTCATCGTGGAGACGGCGGCTAGAGTTGAAAAAAAAATTGGAGGTTCGAAATGAGAGCTAAATCTAACCATAAACAAAAGAAAACAGCACTGATTACCAATGAACCAGCAGTCGCTGAGCTTCCCCTGGGCAATGTCCAGCTTCGTGGCGCCGCCCTCGATGAAGTGCGGCTCCGGGCAGATGTCGTGCGGACGGAGCCACTTCACCTCCTTCCCGGCCAGCCGCCCCTGGGTGAAGTACTCGCCGTGCTTCTCATGCGGAAAGGCCTCGTCCTTGAAGAGCGCCTTCCGCCCCAGCAGCTCCTCCTTCAGCTTCTCGTAGTCGTGGCTGCGGATCATCTCGTCGTGGCTCTTGGCGCCGATGGCGTCTACCGACCGGGAAAAGGTAGTAAACAAAAGTTTTAAACTATGATTTTTGTTGTTTACTTTGTTTACACAAACTTACGCGTCTCCTGGTCAACTTCTTGGGAGCGCACCGGTGGTTTGCCGCCTTCTTTGGACTTCTCTTTGGGCTGTTCTGCCTTGCCTTGGTCCTTAGGCTCTTCAGCTTTCACCTTACTAGCTGCTTTTCGAAGCTCTGGTTCTTTTGCCTCGGCGGCGGCGGCGGCGTCCTTCTTCGTCTCTTTAGCGTCGATGCCCTTGCCCGGCGGCGGTTGTTTCGATTCGACTTTGGCTTTGCTCTCTTTGGCGGACTCTTTGCCCTCTTTCGAATCGGGCTTCACCACCGCAGAGCTAGGCTTCCGCTCGGGTGCTTTGAGCTCCTTGGACTGTTTTTCAGCCTGTTTTTTGGGTTCAACTTCTTTTTTCGCCTCTTTAGCTACTTCTTTGCTTTTCAACTGTTCAGTGTTGTTGTTCTTGTTGTTGTTCACCTTGCTACCGTCCTTGTTGGCCTCCTTCTTCTTGTCTTCCTTTTTCGTAGCCTCGGTCTTGTTTATCGTGCGCTCTTTGGCTCCGCTTTTGGGCTCCTTAGCAGCAGCATCTTTGCTGAATGGCTTGCTCTCTTTCTTTTCACCCTCAACCTTCTTCTTCGACACTTTGCTTGCCTGTCGACCGGGCAGTTCTTCAGTCTCCTCCTTCTCGATCTTTTCTTCTGGTTTGCTCTCTTGGAGCGTCGTTTTAGATTGCTCCGATTTGGCCTCTTCTTCCTTACTTTTAGGCTGCTGCTTGGGCTCGGCCTTGCTGGCAGCACCACCACCACCACCACCACCACCTCCGAAAAGGAAACTAAGAAAGCTTGCGCCGCCTTTAGCTTGCGTCTCCTTCTGTTCTTCCTTTTTCAGCTCAATGTCCTTTTTCAGTTCTTTAGACTCCTTAGGTTCTTCTTTTGGCACTTTACCGCCGTTTTCCTTCTCCACTCGCTCTTTACCCTCCTTTTTCTCCTTTGGGTCGGTTTTCACCTGTTTGCGTGGCTCTGTTTGAGAGCCCTCCTTTCCATCGGCTTTCTCCTCGCTTTTCGCCTCTTTGGACGACTCCACCTTCACTTTGCTCTCTTTGGTGGTCGTCTCTTCTTTGGGCTTTTTGTCCTCCTTTTCCTTGTCCTTCTTGACTTGGGGACCAGAAGAACTCTTGGGGACGGCGTCCTTCATTTTCTGAATGTACCGGGCAATGGAAGCAATCAAACTATTAGCATTTTGAGGAAGGAAACCTAGTTTTTTTAATGAATCACACTTACTAAAAAGCTGTTGCTGGGATGATTTGCTGATTAGTGAAAACAGTTGAGAAAACAGTTGCAGAGTCAAAACTAATAAAATAAGAAAGCTAGCAAAAAGAAAGTCTCATCTTTATAGTCGACGTGTACAACACTGAGAAAAAAAGTTCTAAACTGACAAAGCTGCAACAGAACAGTGCTCTACTGCCAAGTTGGCTGATGGACCTCGACGTGACCGCCGCTGCCCCGGCGGAGCACCTCAATGACTTCATTGTTTTCATCCCCTCGATCCATGCACTGATTTTGGTTTTTCGCTTTTAAGTCTTCCCCTTTTTACACCCATTCCACCACCCACCCACACTTTACATGTGGAAACACTTTACATCAGCTAACTGTGCTAACAACTGGCAATTTGCGTCTGCCTCTTTTTCGATTACTCCGGCAGACAGTTTTGACATTAGTCCAGCAATTAAAGAATAAGCATGGATTTTGCAACATTGACAATCGAGATAACTTCTTCGTCGTCCAGAAGGCGGTCATCTCGAAGCTGTTGTCAGGCGTTGACCATCGTTCGCTGGAGGGCGAGGGCGAGCGATGGTGGTAGTGGCACTGTTGGTGGTAATGTTGCTCACACATCGCTGGATGATGACATTGATGAGTGGTAGTGGTGACTGATTGGGGTGAGGGCGCTGATGCTCACTGATGACCGCTGAGAGTGAGGGTGATGTGTACAGGAGAGAGTGAGTGTACAGCAGTGCCCAGGCAGC